TTCGGGAGTTTAGTCTTTAACCAGTGGCAAGAATGTTGAAAGGAACATAAAGCAAAAATGTTAGTTCCGGAACAAATGGATCCAAGACTGCATCCGGTGGATTGTCCCCATTCATCGTCACCCTACGCCTTCCTGTTTGTGAATGATGTCATAGTATTGCAAAGAAACCAACTTGTGTGAACAATAATTAGTGCCTTCTAGAGGTTTGGTGAGCACGACTACCAAAAACATTAATTCACACCGTGTTGATCATTCAGTTCACCATCCTGGACCTGGCCAACCGTTGACAGATGGTGTTGGTGGTGTGCTACAGCTGGCTCTCCTTGCTATAGTCCGATTAAGTAAAAACCAGAATCTAGGACGAACAATTGTGGTTCACCATTGAATTAAATGGTTGATACTTGAAATGCACATATTTTACGGTTTGAATATTTTCAGCACAAGTGAATTCTAGCACTAAATGGGAGTTTGTATACACCATCGGTGACAGAATAACTATAAACAGCTTCAGATAAGGATTATAAAAATAGTTAACAAACAAGAGCAAACTAAGCTAGAGCAAACCGTGAATTATCGGGAATCGATTATAAGGAGCAACAGTATACGCTCCTAGATAGGTGGATTGATGTTGTAACAGTACTTTTCATTTTGTAATTTTCTGTGTGGACAATATTCGTAAATAGATACGTAAGACGTCAAAACATGGTTGCTAGAAACTGAGTATGAAAAAACTCACCACGTAAACTTCCAGGTGATTGTAATGTTGTGTTGGTAGGAGTCGATCCTGAAATCAGATCAAATTTTCCACTGCCAGGTGGTGTTTCTCGACCGACAGCTGAATTGCATCTGACGCGTTTCGGTTGAAAGTCCACTGGTGGCGGTTCTGTCCACACTAGTTTTAGACAAACCTTCGGAAGAAGGGGTTCGTCCAACAGGTCCTCTGCTTGCTCCACATTAATTGTGGTTCGTGTGTAATTCAAGTTGCAGGGGGTATTCTGAATAGCTGTGTTGTTTACGGTGGCGTTACTGGGAGAGCGGGGAAAGAAAAATTGAAACGTATCAATAATCATTAACTCCGTGGTATTGCTCAACAAGCGAAATCCCTCCTACACGTTTATGTTCACCGACGCTTTCTGCTTCAGTGATTCAATTAGTTTCTTGGCTTTTGTTGTACCGGAAACTGCTTAAAACCGAATATTTTAATTAACCTCCAAGCATTTTACACCATCGTCTCCAGCCACCGCTGGAGAGGATCCATTGAAGACTGCCGCTCCTACTGGTCAACACCCGTAGACACGGACCATG